AGGGCAGCCGGGGCCGGCGGGAGAAAGCCCCCGACGAGAGCCGACCCCGATCCACAGCCGCCGCCGCCGCCGCCGCTGTTCCGAGGAGTGGAGTCGCCCGGGCGGGGGTACCCAGCATACCGTCGTCGAACCCGCCGCAGCTGCAGCTGCTGCTGCTGCTGGTGTCGGATTGGCCCGTACGCCTAGGCTGCTCGCGATCCTACAGTCACGAGTGTGGGGAGGTATTGTCACCGCTGCTGCTGTTGCTGCGGAGGCTGCTGCGGAGGCTGCCACAGCAGTCCCAAGAGAGGAGATGAGCGCCATCGCTGGAACGGGTGGAAACTCCGACGGGCGTCGCAAGCTCCGCGCTTACAACTGCTATTTAACGTGTGTGTATTGGTCCTCTTCTCGTATGTTTTTTTGTTATTCCTGTTGGGGTTCTGTCGTGCGCCCACGAAGGGGCGAGGCGGGGCCTATCGCCAACACCTAGAAACAGCAGCAGCAGCAGCAGCCGCAGCGACGGGTGTGCCAGACGAGTTGCTCCGGGGGTCTTTCCGCTGCAAGAGATGTCGCTCTCTCTGCTGGCTGGCCTGGTTGGGAAGGGAGGGACCATGGATGTGCAGACAAACAGCAACGTTGGGGGCCAATGTACAATGCGCTCTTGAGCGGGATGCAAATGCTCCGATCGCTTCAGATCGTGAAGGAAAAAAGCCGACATTGACGATTCATGGCGGTGGTTCATGTTCCCCCATTGCTTGTACTCCCATTCTGACACCCAAACGCGTTCGGGATGGGGGAGAGAGGGGCGGGGAGCAGCGACAGATGGATGCCAACTGCATGTCATGGCCTACGATTTACGATCGAAACAATGGCAACCCTGACATGCAGCCACTGATTGCAAAAGTAGCCTTCGTATGTATCTTGCGACTTTGGTCGTTGGACAGCAGTCGGTGTTGTCGACACTCCGTCGGCCGTATCAGCATGCCACCAGCCTCGCGAGGACACCATGTTGTATGACAGGCGTTTCCACAAAACGAAGCCTTCAGGTATGTTGCCGTCTTGACAACATCAACGAAAGTGAGTGACCGGAAGAGTAAGATACGACGTATGTAGGCAGTCGGCACCCTGGTGACGCCCATTGCACGCGCTACTGTAGGTGTGAAATGTGTTCATGTTCACCCAGACTCAACAGGCCCGCACTGCTTGCCTCTGTCTGGTGCATGGCATTGCAGAGGTGACCTGTTCTGAGGCACCAACATTTCACCAAGCGCGGTTTCGAGCCAAGCACAACGCGCGCACAGCAGCATTCCACTGGCATGGGGTTACATCGGTACAGACAACGGTCCTGGACACTGGTCCAGCGGAGATGCTTGTACTGACTGACGCGGTGGTGCGCATGAGCGCTACTGCAGCAGAGTGCAACCACAGGACCCAGAGAGCAGGTAGTCCTGTCTTCTTGTGTACCGTCCAATGACACCAACAGCGCAGGCTAGCCCGCAAGAAAACGTACCTGAAAAGCAAACGTCAACGGTGGGCTCCTCTCAGCGAGCTCTCCCCATCGTGTGATGTCCCACCAGCAAGTACGTAGACAGACCAGGAGTGCAGGACGCTGCAGCCAAGTACAAGGGGGCTCATGGATGCTACAGAACCCAACCTCCCATGTCGAAACCACGTCGCCCCCTTGTGGTGGTACGGCCCCCTTGCACACAGGAGGTTGGTACTGCTGTGCATGACTGCTTTGCAGAGGCTCACGATTGTCGCAGTGTTGTGAGGGATGGAGTGGCCCTTTTGGTTGACGCGTGACGCTGTGCATCACGGGTATATTTTCAGTACCCTACAGCAGTACATCGGCCAACCAAACTGGGCTTGCCGCCGGTGCTGAAGTACATTGAGCTGCCGAGAGTAGTCCTTGTGGAAAGGAAGCACCAAGCACCACTACTTTATCTCAGATCAATCTCTCGCGAAAGCAACGTCAACGAAAACTACAGATGTTTCTGTCTTTGCTGGAGGCAATCTGTTGATTCATTTTCTTCTCAAGTCTACTGCCGCTGCTGTTGGTGGATTGGAGGAAATCCTCTTCCAAGCATATGAGGGACCGAATGGCAAGTGCTAACGCCCAGAGTACGCTCAAGCGTTCCTCGGCCGGCGTCTTCGCATCAACGCCTACCAGAACCGACAAACGCAAAACCCATCCGCCGACAGAATAAGGAAAAACAAATTCGCTAAAATGAAACGACAAGGCGTTTTTCACGGCGGTGGTCAGACGTCGCGAGGCAATGCTCTCAAATAGACAGAGGTTCGAGGAGCGAATTGAGGATGCATTACAAGATGGCAACACACAGAGTGCTCGTCCGATCACAAATCTCCACACTGCCGCCCCTCCTGCCCTCGCCGGCTACACCGCACAAAAGCAAGCCCTTGTACGCTTAACCCCCGCTACTGCCCCCCCCGCCCCCCCCCCCCCGCCCCCACGCTCCCCTTGTTCGCCGCCCATACACCATTGCCACCAGCAGCTCGCAAATCAAAGCGCGTTAAAGATCACTCATACGAGCGAGTATCGCCGCCCCTATCTCCCTCACGCCGCCGCCGCCGCCACACAGCAGCGGCGACTACCACAACCAGATCACGCTAAGTCAGCCCCGCGGCGTCATCAGTAGCACATGTGGTCCTTGACCGACTTAGGGTCGACCTTCTGCTCCAAGTCCTTCCGCATCATGAATCCGGGCCCTGTCGGCGTTCCCTCCAGCGATGTCTTTCCGTGGGGGCCTGAAATTTCAGCGGCAAACACGTGGAGAGGCAGGGAGCAGAGCGCGCGCGCACACACACGCACACCATACAAGCGTTTGTGTTTTCAGCCGGCCTGAGACTGAAGCCTTTTGGTTGGTCAGCCGCTAGCGCGGTCCATGGCAACAAAAGAAACGCACACACAAAACCTAGAGAGTTGTACGGTGCAGGCCAAGCTTGTGTGAGTTGACCTACACAGGAAAAGCTGGCAACAACGATGTGAAAACTCGCGCTAACCGGGACCCGTGGGAAAACGATAAACTCGTCAAGAACAGCGGCCGAACAAGTGCGTGCTCCGATCACTTCGGGGGGGAAGCCTTCAGCGTCTCCCACGACAACCATTTTCTTTATGCGTGCGCATAAACCCGCGTACGCGACAATAGCGAAAAAACAAAGCAAACGGTTTCGCCCTTCACGATACCGACGTGCATGAGAGCATGCGTGCATCTGCTAGAAAAAAAAGAGGGGCGACTGCGGCGAAGAAAACAGCGGCCCTCGCTTCTCACCCTCGCAGCTGACTTGTCCGTTGAGCGGCAAGCTGCCCCACCGGCCCATCTCCGGCGTCTCGCCGTTCTTGCACTTCTCCAGAAGCTCCTTCATGGTCTCGGGCGTGAGGCACTCGAAGTAGTCGTCGTTAATCTGTACCACGGGGAAAGTTGGAGAAATCGCGGAAGGCCGGCCGGAAGCAGCAAGTAACAGGGGTTACGACACGGGAGGCCAGGGGGGGCAGGGGGGGGGGGGGGGGGGGATTTAAAATA